GTAGCAGTCCCTCCCGCTACTCAGGCGCAAGGAATCAGCCCAGTTGGCCACAAGGGGGCGCTATAGCACAGGTCAACGCGTTTGGGTCTATAACTCCTAGACCAGATTTTTGCCAGACAAGCCATAATTTTTTCCTAGTTCCTTGGGTCCAAACAAACAACTTTGCCCTTTGAACCATTTAGCTCAGCCCACTTAGATTTTGAGCTAATTTGCATAATATGCGAAACCTACTTTTGCAAACTAGTCCTACAATTTTCACCCAATCCCCATGTAGTTGGTGTCAAAAGATTCAGAAGAGCCTAAACCTCAATAATTATCAAAAATATTTTGGCTTCTCTAAACAACATGGCTGCCATATGCAAATGAACCCTTCTGGATAAATTCAAAATAATTCAGAATTAATTTAAAATTCTGTAACTCGACAACCCTTCAGCCAAAAAAATTCAAACTTGACGGAAACATTTGGGAGAAGATTCTGAATTAGCCATTCGATTTTTGTGCGCATATATAATTAGGGGGCGGAGTTAACACTACATGGCTCTTTCTCAGCATCCCTACATCCGATCAGGGTGAAACTTTGCAGACTATAAGTGAATCCATAAGGACAATTTGATTCATTGAAATATATGGTCGCCATCAGCCAATCAGCATTTAGCAGGCTTTTGACAGGCTTAACATTGACCAATCATCATGAAACTTGAATAATCTCTACATATAGCCACTTTCTAACAACCAATCAAGTTTAAAAAATTTGACCACAGGGGGGCGCTATTCATAAAATTTACATATTATTACATATTATTACTATTTTATTACAAGTTTGCTTGAAAATCCTTGTGTATCATATGTAGTACATTATTCCAAAAAATTAGCAAATTCATATTTATTACAAAACTGCATAGTTTTTTGTAATCAGTAACTGTTTAAAAAGCTTACTTTTCAAACTAGTCCCTGGATTTTGATCCAATATTTTCGAACTTGGTCTGGAAAAATTCTTTGGCATGTGTAGGTAAATAATTATCAAAAACATGTTGACTTTTCTACTCAGGGTCGTGTGGATCAATCAATTAATTACTGCAACCATGGCATTGTTAGCTTGATTAGCTATAACTCAACAATCATTGATCAGATCATCTCCAAACTTTAAGGGCCTTTACATATTTGGACTGTAATGGTGTATGCCATTTTGGTCCAGATTGGCCTTTAGGGGGCGCTTTAGCACTCAAAAACACTTAAAAATCAATTAAATTGCTATTACAATATTATGACAAGGTCGACAAATAAACAAATGGTGCCGTACGACTCAGTTCACTCACATGAACAATTTTCTAAGTACATGTTCTTTGTACTGTTTGTCTGGTATTTTGGCTTATTCATTCGAAGACTACATTATACAAAGGCTTATTATACAAAGGTCAAAAGGTCAATCTGACCAAAACTTGGTAAACATCTTTGGATATGGTCCCTGATCAAGAATCACACCATATTGTGGCCTTTTCACTAATTCTGACCCACTTTCACTGAGCTCATACTTTACTTTAGTCCTATGTTTCAACTTTTCATCTGTTTCAACTTTACTCATATTTTTGCCTGTAACTTTTGATCAGAGTGATATAGAGACAAAATTATTTTTTCTTCTGATTCCTTGGGACTTGCTGAACAAGTGCACCCCAGTCACTTTTTGAGCTAATTTGCATAATGTGAAAAACCTATTCTTGCGAACTAGTCTCTGGATTTTTTGCCAATTTTCATCAAATTAGTATCATAAGATTCAGAAGACACTGATCCTTAATAATTATCAAAAACATTTTGACTCTTCCACTCAGTGATTGAGGATCAATCAATTACTTACTGCAACCATGGCATTGCTAGATTGATTTGCTATAACTCAACAGTCATTGGTCACATCCTCTCCAAACTTTAAGGATATTTACATATTTAGACTTTAATGATGTCTGCCAATTTTGGTCCAGATTGGCCTTTAGTGGGCGCTTTAGCACTCCCAAACACTTAAAAATCAATTAAAATGCTATTACAATGTTGTTACAAGATCGACATAAAAACAATTGGTGCCATGTGACTCAGTTCATGCACATTAACAACTTTCTAATTACATGTTATGTCAAAAATTGCACTGCTTGTCTTTTATTTTGGCTTATTCATTCAAAGATTTCACTATACAAAGACTTATTATACAAAGGTCAAAAGGTCATTCTGACCAAAACTTGGTGAACCTCTTTGGATATGGTCCCTGATCAAGAATGCTACCATGCTGTGGCCTTTTCACTAATTCTGACCCACTTTCACTGAGCTCCTCACACCAATAGGGCCTCTTATGAGTGCATTGGGCCTCATTATGGCCTACATCAAATCAATGGCTTAAATATAGAATCAATCCACTGTCCAAGTCCTACTATGTGAGAAATGCTGCCATTAGTCATGTAGTTTTGACATCTATGTTGACAACCTCTTGGATGTTCTACAAACCAGTGTAGATCAATAGGAATGCAAACCTATAATGTGTTTAAAACACCACTGCTTGTTGTTCATGGCAACTGAAGGCCTTTTGATGAACTGACATCCTTTCAGTTCTATTCACTCTACCTATGAATAAGACCAACAGCTTGAGGCCTTTTTAGGCCTAATGGGCTAAACCTGCAGGAGGGCCCATACTGCTGTTGCATGCTTGAACCCGCTCATTGCCGCTTACGGCTATATTTATTATTATTATTATTATTATTATTATTATTATTATTAGTATTATTGTTGTTGCCTTCCAGAAGGACAGCTCCGCCAAAGAGGGTAAATGGGCTTTTGTTTGGGCAATTTTACCTGGACCTTGTGCACATCCTTGAACCTATTCTTTGTATACAAATTGCTTGATTGGATAAAAAGCTGTTTAAACTGCTTAGTAACACATTAAAATACTTGCATTCTTTGACATTTTCTGTCCAGGAATGGGATGTTTTCTGGATAGGCATTCAAAAACCTGGACAATCCAGGAAAATCATAGATGGGTGGCAACCGCCGTCATACAAAGTTACGAACACAAACACTTCTGCTGTAATATTTTCAGCCTGTATCCTTATATACATTCTGTAAAGTCTTTTGGGTGAAACTCGGTCTTTGTTCAAACAGGGAGCTCAAATCTGATTTTTCAGGGTATCCGATTTGAGCAGGACAGATTTTCTGAAGTCTGAATGGTAAAAAGTCATATTCAAGCTACAAATTTCATGTTGTTTCAAATCTAATTCAAATTGCACTTCTGGATATGCAACTTAGTTTGACCAGTCCAATCTGGTTTTGTCATTCAGCAGCTCTTCATCAGAATGTGTGACATTAAAGTTGGTGGTGCACATGCACATATTCTAGCCTAAACAAACAGGGCTGAAGCATTTTTTAACATTTTAACAAATGGATAATAGGTTACATATTATTGACTTTAAAAAGTAAATAATGCTTCTGTTTACACTGCTGCTTATGCTTCCTTCTCAGAAGTTCCTTCTTATGACTTCATAGTTTGTAAGTACAAATCAGAAACAAGATGGACATGCTAGGAAAAATGCTTTTGTTGGTTACTTCTGTTTTCTGTTGTCAAAGACAGTACAACTATTTTGTGTTACTGCAACAAAATAAAGAGCATAGAATGTGCATTCAATGATATTTTTGTCCAGTTTGAATCACTGCAGAAAATACACTCGTATCAGGCTTTTTGTCTATGTGGATGACAGTAAAACATAAAGAAAAATAGCCTGCAGTGTTTGTGTGGCTGTAGGATAGCTATACAGTCAATTTTAAAAATACAGTTTAAAATACAACTACTGGTTACAACCATTGCTTTTTTTCTTGAGTTCACAGAAAATCATACTAGTAAATATTATTCAGATATTTTCTATGCAATATATAGTAGCAGAAAAAAAGAACAACCAGTGCTCATTAACATGAAAAAACTATACCGATCCTATAAGACAAACAAGGGGAGGGGGGCACAGCATTGGGGGCATTATTCTGTAGGCACTTCTAGGTGAACTCCTTTCTCAAAATACTGCATAAATGCCTGCTAGACCTTAAAAAATGACAATGCTGCAGAACAAATGAAGATTTGCTTCATAAATCTGATCTTTAGATAGTGTTCAGATTTCAAGGTACAAGTGACCAAATCCAACTTGTATGGTCAGATTGTAGTCGCATTTGCTCACAGAGCCACATTGGTTGCCATAGTAATAATGCACATGTGAATACACTACAGCGTAGGAGACTTAGGAAACTTAGCTAACCTAAGCTTAGATTTGTACCACTGCTCACACTATATTTCATAACAGCATTGCACTTTTTATCAATTACAACATGAACAGAATGTGACATCAATGTATAGTAAAGGCAGAACAGACCATCAGTTTGCTAACAGGCTAAAAGGCTCAACCAAACATATTCAGAGATATTGGCCAATGCTGCCCTGATGCTGTGTTTATGAGTTGAGCACACACGAGCGCCACCACAATGTCATATTTACTAGTGAGATGAAGTTGTGTCTGTCTAGACTTGCCCATCTGGCTGTTTTGTCAATATTCACGAACATATTTCATTAGTATTATTGTGTGATGTTACTTTGCATTCATTATTGTTTCACAAGACATTTTATTGTTTTATCACATGTAGTAAAGTCTCCCACCTTTGCACCATCTGGCTTAGTTACAGTCAATGTTTGGGGTGTGGCAGCTTTGATTATAGATCTTAAAGTCAAACTTGTCTAGTTTATGTATTTCTGAATGATTTATTATTTTTTTAGTGGGTTGTATTCTACTAAACCTTCATTTTTATTCAGAGTATCTAACTCATTAGTTCGAATACACACTTTGAAGCCATTTTAAACAGACAATATTTTAATATATTACTGGCAAACTTTTATTGTCTTTATGATCTCAGCTCAGCATTAACGCATGAAACTGATGGACTGACTGATAAATAAATGAACTTTGAGACTCAGTATCGGAGGAATCAAATGACATTCTCAGCCGGAATATGAGTTACAGTCTGCTCGAGAAGATTTAATCAAGCGAGGAACATAAACTTCAACAAAAGAGAAAACACAGTGAGTATCCTTCCACTAATTCATTTTGGTAAATGAGGTGGATTTGCTTTAGATGAACTACAGTCCAAAAGATTTTATTGCAGTCTTTAAAAAATCTCCACCTAGAACTCACTAAGTTATCAGTCTGCAAAGCAGCTAAAACAGTGCTAGGCAGGATTAGAACTCACAATGTTATTAATGTTGCTCACATTGTAAATAAACAGTGAATTTATATTTGTATATGCAGATTTACATGAGGAGACATAAAAAGCAGTTTTATGAGCTCCAAAATGAGTTCTTCGGGGGAACCGCACACAGAGGTGGACCAGAGGTGAGAGAATAAATCTTAAATGTTCTCAAATTCATTCTATAGATATCCATTCATAAACAAACCTCTGTACTCATGTGTATCTGTTGGAAACTGGCCAGTCAGTAGCATTGATTGATCAAGGAACCTTTTTCGGTTAAAAGCTATTTTATTGATCTGAACTGGAGAAATGACTCTTACAGAAACTGCAAACTATAAAGTAAACTGTTTGTGTAATGATGGAGGAAGATATACTTAAATATATGAGATAATGGTTGGCTGTGTTTTAGTGCGATTCAGAGAGATCAGACTCATCTGAACTTAGCTGTGTGTCTATGAAGAGTGAGGCATCAATGGGTGAGCCAGTAGAGTTCAGAAAGGCAGAGAATAGAATGCAACAGAATGCTGAGAACATACTATTAACTAATTGAAGACAAACCAGGTTAGTTTTCCACTTCAGGGCAAAAGGCAACATTGTATGTAGTTCACACAATTTTTTTTACTGATTTTGTTAACATTTTTATATCCTGATTAAATTCTGCCCTTAGAGTATTTGGTTAGTGTGCACAAACACGTATTTAGTAATCACATACATTTTTTCACATGAACATGTTTTCACTGGATGTGATGGCACCGTTTTTAACATGTAAAGTGTGCAAAATAACATATGTTTATTCATATGTTAAATAATATTTATTTTGCTTTTTGCTTATTTTATACTTATTGTATGGATGAAGGATGAGAATAGGAGAAAGCAGCATTGTCCAAAATGATGAAAAAAAGGAGGCCGACGACAGTGCGCGTTGGTAGAGTGATGTGTAGATTTATACAGTGTGTGTCAGTAGAGGATGTGTAGTAGATTTATTTTTAACAGATATATACTGAGTGTGATATAAAGAGACGGTAACATTTAATGTGGAGATTTATACCTGGAACTGAGTGTAATGTAGAGAATATAACAGTAATGTGGAGATTTATACCTGGAACTGAGTGTAATGTAGAGAATATAACAGTAATGTGGAGATTTATACCTGGAACTGAGTGTAATGTAGAAAATATAACAGTAATGTGGAGATTTACACCTGGAACTGAGTGTAAAGTGTAAAATATAATACACTGACATGCCAGAAGTCAAGGGACAGGAACTAGTATTGTGTAGGACCCCTCTAGCCCGGTCAAGAGCAGCAAGTCGACGTGGCATTGATTCTTCAAGTGGATAGAAGATGTCTGGAGGGATGTTGAGCCATGCCATTTGAATAGCCACCCACAGCACTGCGGTGTTTGTAGGTGCAGGATCTCTGGTATGAATGGACGTCTCCACCACATCCCATAAATGCTTGACTGGGGCAAAAGTGCAGGCCACACCATTTGTCAGAATACTCCTCAAACCAATTCTGGACAACTTGGGCCTGATAGTACAGTGCATTATCATGCTGGAATATCCCATCATTGTGGGGGTACATAAAGTCCATGAAGGACTGCAAATGGTCACCAAGCAAAGAAATTGTCAATGACATGTTCAGACGGACCAGTGGACCCAACCCATGCCATAAGAACACACCCCACACCAGCATGGAACCACCACCAACCTTCACAGTGCCTTGTTGACAACTGGGGTCCATGGCTTCATGGGGTCTACACCACATACCAACCCTACCATCAGCCCAAAACAATTGGTAGCATGACTCATTGGACCATGCTGCATGCTGCATTCCTCTAGGGTCCAGTTGGCTACCTCACAAGCCTAGGTAAAGTGTTGTGCCTAGTGTCATGGCGTTAACAAAGGCACTCATGTGGGTCTTCTGCTCCCATATCCCATTGAAGCTAAAGAACACTGCACTGACCTGTGGGACATGCGCGTGGGGCCTCCTGCATTGAATATGGATGTCAGTATTGTGGCATGTCAGTGTGGTAATATGGAGTAAGCAAGAATCAGTCATGTGAACAGGAAATCATCAAAATGTGCTCAACATTGACCGACCATATCTGTACAGTATGTGAATGCCCATGTTTTGGAAAAATCACTTATTTTGATTATATCACAGAATGTCCTGTCAAATCTATTGTTTGATTATATTTTAGTTATATTCCGGGTAAAATAAACTCACCTGAACCCGGCTGTAAGTCTGCGGACAGTGATGACTCAATGGAAAGTCCAGTAAACTTTGGAGAGGGAGATGGATCTCCTGCTGAGAGGTAAGGATAGGGTGATTGTTTAGAGCAGTGTTCCTCATTCCCAGTCTCACCTTATCAGATTCACTCAGCTCATTATGAAGCCCTTCATTAGATGCATTAGCTAAGTTGTAGCAGAAAAACATTCAACTTTGCAGATCTGCAGCTCTCCAGGCAGTCCACTGGCAGTGAGTGTAATGTAGAGAATGTAACAGTAATGTGGAGATTTATACCTGGAACTGAGTGTAATGTAGAGAATATAACAGTAATGTGGAGATTTATACCTGGAACTGAGTGTAATGTAGAGAATATAACAGTAATGTGGAGGTTTATTCCTGGAACTGAGTGTAATGTGAATAAGATAATAGAAATATAGAAATATGCACTCCAAAATGAGTTTCTTCTGGGAACAGCACACAAAGAAAGTGAGGTGTATTTAAAAAGAGTAACTTTATAAAAGAAGACAACAGCACTCTTAAACTTTTAGTATGAGGAGGTAGTATCTAGGAGTGCCCTGTGTGCTCTGTTTGTGCAAGGTTAGGAATGTGAATTGGGGGGCCTCTCGCTACTATAGGAAAGGGGGCCTCTCACTTTCTCCCTTCTTCTCTTAGTTCCAAATAGATGAGATCATTTTAAAAAGAAACATATGTTCTGTCTCCTGTTTCAACAACAAGAACCATATATATAAGCTGATGGTTATTCTGTTCTGGGGGGGACATTTAAAATTGGCACGGATCCCCTCTCAGGTACTTTATAGTGCTTGATATGATACTGTTTTACTTTGTAATAAACTTCTTATGCAGAGAACACAGTGTCAGCTGAGTTGTCCTTCATCATCTTCACACCATTGCTACTTAATAAACAACAAAAGAGCAAATGTGAACCAGAAATCGAAACTGTATGTAAACGCACATGATTTAGATAAATCACTTATTTTGATAATATCACAGAACATACAGTGAAATCTGTTGTTTGATTATATTTCAGTTATATTTGGGGTAAAACAAAACCACCTGAACCTGGCTGTAAGTCTGCGGACAGTGATGACTCAATGGAAAGTCCAATAAACTTCGGAGAGGGAGACAGATCTCCTGCTGAGAGGTAAGGACAGTGTGATGGTTTAGGACAGTGTTCCTCACTTCCAGTCCTACCTGATCAAACTCACTCATTATGAAGCTCTTCATGAGCTGCATCTGGTGTGTTGGAGCAGAAAAATACTAAATTGCACAGAGCTGCAGGTCTCCAGGACTGGCAGTGAGGAATAATAGATTAGGATTAAATCACTTTATCCAGCCTGAATTTCCTGAGCTGAAGGAGTCTGTGCTGCTGGAGTGGAGAACAGTAATGTGGAGATTTATACCTGGAACTATAATGTGTAAAATTAAAAAAAACACAAATTGTCAGTCAGAAAATATAGAAATGGAAGTGTTAAAAACAGGAAAGTGTGAAATATCTTCTAGTGTACTGCTGTTCATATATGAACATTCTATATATTATCTACAGGGTCCAAAAGAAGAAATCAAAAATTTTCAGCAGACGTCACTTGGACTCCATATTAAAGGTTTGTATGTAATTCTGGTACGTTTGAGTGTGGTAGGTATTTCAGCAACTTACACAGTCACAACCATAAAAATGGTTAACCAGTTTTTGTACTATTACTTTGTCAGGAAATCTATACAAAAATAGTCCCAACATGCAATTTCACCTATTGCCTACAGGTAACAATTAATCAGAAATCTGCTTTTGATAAAATGCTAATAAAATGCACTGTAATAAGGGAGTTAACCACGTGTAAATGAACTGCTGCAAATGCAGAATTTATGTAACAAAAAAATATACAATTAACTTTTTTGTACTCATGTAAGAGTGAGATTGGACAACCTCATACATTTATTTACATTAACATTACTCGGGGGGTTTATTCTGCCCTAATAACTCAAACATTTTGGAGGCCACCATTCTCTGACAGGATAGTGGCAGGTGTCCCCTTCATGCAGGTACATCTTTGATGGTAGGAGTTGACCCAGGAGTAGCAGGCAGCGTTGGTTCTGTTGAAGCAGCGAGTAGCCTTGAAAAATGATTCTTGGACAAGTGGCTGGTGTATGATATTGTCATGAGAAACACTGAAAGAGAAACACATGTTGTTTGTATATACCACATGTCTGTAAGAGAGCAGAAACCTTTTTAGCTACTGGCGGAATGAGCCCTGTTCTTGTGAAGCTTTGAGGGCATGCTTCATTCTCTGCACAAATATCTCCGCTAACCCATACGTTCAAAGGTGCTAGGGAGCAGATCAAAAGTGTTCCATTCAATTTACTTCAAAGAACTTTGAACAACTGTCATATATGTGCTGTTCAAGGAAACCAAATTAAAAGGAACATTTCTTAATAGTTTCTCAGAAGAAGTGGATCTGAGTATAGCCGTTTCTGGCCACATTTTGTGCACTCTAGACTGTGGTCTAGGGACAGGCCATAACAGAGAATGAATGTGGATTCTTTCTCCAGACAAGCTAACAGACCAAACAGTGGACACCATTTAAAATCAGAAAACAGCAAAAGTTCATTTATATATTTTTAAAAGTCTCAAAGGCAAGATGTTAAACTAGATGGGATGGGATTCATGGGTGAGCATGCACCAAAATCACAATCAAAAACAGCTAAAAGTGTTAAACTAACTAAACCTGGGAACAAAAAGAAACAAAACCACTAAAAGCTACCCCAATTTCCAAACATCTTGGACCTGCACATAAAGCAACATACAGTTGGAAAAACACAAAATCCTAGCACTAGACAAACATAAGGAATATTACAAACCAATATTGCTATAATAAAAAACATCATGCTTGAACAGTGAAGTCATTTTACCTTGAAAGATGTGGCTTCAGCTCAGAGGCACCCCTGTATTTCATCCAACAACCACCACATCAATCAATTTAGACAGCGTTGTGACATTACGGGTGTGCAGTCTCACATGCAGTTCTTCCACCTGCCATCTGAGTGCTTCTGCTTAGCATGCACCATGATCACAGCTAGGTTACTATAATGTTACAGTATGTACATTTTTATTGACCAGTTGACTAAAGTGCTGTAAGTAGAGGTATATGTCATATGCATGAGTGCATCTGATTGGTGGCTAAAAATCTGGGAAATCTGGGAACACACATATGTGGCTCAAAAACGATTATAAGAAGGTGGTGATCGGTTAGGGAGAGTTTTTTTTTTCCAAAGATATTCAGATGGAATTTACCAACACCAAATGCCAGTATTGCCTTGTTCCATATTAAAATGATATTTTTTATAATAAAAAAAGACGTGTAATTCTTTTTACTTTAATATTTTAATATAACTTTATGGTGTTCTGATTGATAGGATGGATTTGCAGTTTGTTTAATGGTTGTTTTATATTACAGTAATGTCATCCTATAATGAAATAGCATTTCTGTGATTTTCTTTTTTTTATTGTTTGGTCCTATTTAGGAGTTGGAACACAAATTAATGTCTCTGGTGAAGAAAGAACTGAAGACAGTCAAGAAGATACTGAGTGTGGATAACCCAGCATCCTCTGAGAGAGAGGTGGAGGATGAGGAGGATCAGAGCAGTTCCAATGTGTCGATGCAGAAGATCTCATGGAAAATGCTGAAGAGCATGAACCAGACAAACCTTGCAAAAACACTGAAGAGTGGTAAGAACTCTGGGTTTGGCTTTAGAGGAAGGACACTGATCCATACTTATCACACTTCTCATATAAAGAGTGCTGATCTAGGACCAGGTTTTACTTTTCGCATCCTTTTGAATGCAGTTACATGGAGGAAAGAATTATGTTTCTATATGTTTAGCTTTCAAATATTAGTTGATATTTCTGAAAGTAGGATGTAAATTAAGAGTGTAATGAAGTTTGACAAATACTGCATATGATATGCAGTTAGCGAACACAGGATACAATGTTTATCACAATGTTTGTGTTTATTAGGGATTGCTCCTGCATGTCAGAAAATGCTCAAATCCAAACTAATGAAACAATATAAAAATAACTATAAAAAAATTTTAGAGCATGGAACATCAACCATTCTAAATGAGATCTACACAGAGCTCTACATCACAGAGGGAGGGAGTGGAGACATCTATAATGAGCATGAGGTCAGACAGATTGAGACAGGATTCAGGAGACAAGCATCACAGGAGAAACCCATCAACTGCAATGACCTCTTTAAAGACGAATCCATCAGAACTGTGCTGACTAAAGGAGTTGCTGGAATTGGAAAAACAGTCTCTGTGCAGAAGTTCATTCTGGACTGGGCTGAAGGAAAAGCAAATCAGAATGTCCTCTTATTTCCACTTCCTTTTAGGGAGCTCAATTTGATGAAGGACAGAAAACTCAGTCTGATTGATCTGCTTTACCAACTTTTCCCAAAATTAAATGATTTAAAATCATTCAATAGTGGCAATAACAAAGTCATGTTCATCTTTGATGGTCTGGATGAGTGTCGACTTCCTCTAGATTTCCAGAACAATGCGAGATTGTGGGATGTAACAGAGTCAGCATCAGTTGATGTGCTGCTGACAAACCTCATCAAGGGGAATCTGCTTCCCTCTGCTCTCCTCTGGATAACCTCTCGACCAGCAGCAGCCAATCAGATCCCTCCTGAGTGTGTTAATCTGGTAACAGAAATAAGAGGGTTTAGTGACCCTCAGAAAGAGGAGTACTTCAGGAAGAGAATCAGTGACCAGAGCCTGGCCAATAAAATCATCTCACACATGAAGTCCTCAAGAAGCCTCTACATCATGTGCCACATCCCAGTCTTCTGTTGGATTGCAGCCACTGTTCTAGAGAGAGTGTTGGGGGAAGCAGAGAGTGGAGAGATCCCAAAGACTCTGACTCAAATGTTCTTACACTTCCTGATCTTTCAGACATCTAACATTGATCCTCAGCAGACTCGAAAGATGATTCTGGCACTGGGAAAACTGGCTTTCCAACAGCTGGAGAAAGGCAATCTGATCTTCTATGAGGAGGACCTGAGAGAGTGTGGCATTGATGTCAGAGAAGTGTCAGTGTACTCAGGAGATTGTACCCAGATCTTCAGAGAGGAGTTTGAGCTGCACCTGGGGAAGGTGTTCAGCTTTGTGCACCTGAGTGTTCAGGAGTTTCTGGCTGCTTTATATGCATTTCTCTCCTTCATCAACAAAGATGTAACTAAACAGATAACCACAGATCTCTCTGGTATTTTCAAAGAGTCTAAAATGTCAAACTTCATCAAATCTGCAGTGGATAAGGCCTTGAAGAGTGAGAATGGACACCTGGATCTTTTCCTCCGCTTCCTTCTGGGTCTCTCACTGGAATCCAATCAGACTGTCTTACGAGGCCTACTGACCCAGACAGGAAGCAGCTCTCACAGCAAAAAGGATACGGTCCAGTACATCAAGGAGAAGATCAAGGAGAATCCCTCTCCAGAGAAATCCATCAATCTGTTCTACTGTTTGAATGAACTGAATGATCATTCTCTAGTGATGGAAGTCCAAACATATCTGAACAGAGGGCATTACTGTCTCCGTGGAGTAAAACTCTCTTCTGTCCAATGGTCAGCTCTGGTGTTTGTGTTGCTGAATTCAGAAGAGGGCTGAATGAGTTTGATCTGCGTAAATATGACAGATCAGAGAGATGTATACTGAGGCTTCTGCCAGTGGTCAAAGCATCCAGAAAAGCTAAGTGAGTATGAAATTACCCTGCTTCATAACGTAATATAACACATATTGTACTTTTGAAAATTAGTCAAATTCACTGATAAAATGCACATTTGAGTGTAGAAAATGTCCAGTCAACTGATGCAATAAAACTCTTTTATTCAAGATATGCATCATTAAGAACCATATTGTTCTAACTACCATGTATACACTACCATATACACTACATGGAGTAAAACATAATAGTTAGTCCCCATATCCTACGTTAAATCATGTTCAGTCTCATTAGTCTGAATTAACCTTTATAGGAGTTTGATTTCATTGCCATTGATGACAGCTACACACGAAAAATAAAAATGAGCAATTATTATTAATGTTTAAAATCCAACTGGTCCCGTTTTATTACATTTGCCCCACCCACTTCTAAAGGCCAATTACTATACAGACATCCAATCACAAGTTAAACACAACATAAACCTCTGATGTCCCATCCAAAAATTTCCATCATTTTGTTTTTAAACACTGTGTCCACTCACTTGTTGATACACATTGTAGATGTAAAATCAGAAACGATAGCTCATCTGCTGCTGCACAGTTTGTGTTGGTCATCCTCTAGTCCTTCATCAGTGGTCACAGGACGCTGCCCACCAGACGCTGTTGGCTGGATATTTTTGGTAGGTGGACTATTCTCAGTCCAGCGCGACACTGAGGTGTTTAAAAACTCCAGCAGCACTGCTGTGTCTGATCCACTCATACCAGCAAAACACACACTAACGCACCATCACGTCAGTGTTACTGCAGTGCTGAGAATGATCCACCACCCAAATAGAACCTCCTCTGTGAGGGTCCATGGGGGTCCTGACCTCTGAAGAACAGGGTAAAAGGGGGCTAACAAAGTATGCAGAGAAACAGATGGACTACAGTCTGTAACTGTAGAACTACAAAGTGCACCTATATAGTAAGTGGAGCTGATAAAATGGACAATGAGCGTAGAAACAAGGAGGCAGTCATAATGTTATGCCTGATTGGTAAGCAGTGATTTGTAAATCTACTTGGACATTTTTTACAATAAAATAACAGTACAAAGAGAAGATATTTAATGTTTTACTTTTACTTTTTAGTTTGTTTTGTTTTTTTTTCAAAAAAGTTGTGATTTGGTCATTTAAGACTAGAAATGTTTGAAAAACATTTCAAAACATTTTGAAACCATTTTAAAAAGGTGATACAACAATATCTGAGTATAAAAAGAGCATGAATGAAAAGGCTGAGGGTTCACCATTTTGCCAAAACTCCAAATAGTCCAACAGTTTAAGAACATTCCTTAATGAGTGACTGCCAGAATTTTGCGCATTTCACTCTCTACAGTGCATAATGTCATCAAATAATTCATGGAATACAGAGAAATCAGAGAAATGTGAGGGTTCTAGTAGGTAGGAAAGAGTTTCATACCAGACTTTTATTGATTTTTAAGAGACAAATTTCTCGTTTATTTTATAAACTTCATATGTTCAAATAAGAACAGATACAACTTTAATGGGAGATTATTGTATGTCATTTCATTAAATTAATGCTCAACTTGGTGGAGATTCTGCCATGGAAAAAACATAACATATCTACACATATTCAGGGTCACTTAAAATCAGGTATCTGCAGACCTTCTCTGTCAAGTGGGAGATAAAGTAAGAAAAGTCTCAGCCTTGGATGTTTTTTGTTCTATATGAAGCTTGTGAAGGGTGAATAGAGAATGTGATGGATAGGGAAGTATTGACTGAAAAATTCAAATTTGTGGAAAAAAAATCTCTGTGGTCTTTAGTGATGCACTGACTGCATGTGTCTAAATGATATCTAAAGGCTATAAGTGAATAACAAAGCTGACAAGTGGCAACCTTGAGAGCTTCAGACTGTGTGTGTCTGTGTGTGGGATGTGAGTGTTATGATTTTTCCTTATTTGTCTTCCAGGCTGACTAACTGTAATCTCACAGAGAAAAGCTGTGAAGCTCTGGCCTCAGCTCTCAGCTCAAACTCCTCAAGTCTAAGAGAACTGAATCTGAGTAACAATGAACTGCTGCAGGATTCAGGAGTGAAGCTGCTCTCTGCTGGACTGGAGAATCCACACTGTAAACTGGAGAAACTGAGGTGAGATCACTATCACTATAGACATGGACCTGTCTATCTCTCTCTCTCTCTCTCTTTCTTTCTTTCTCTCGCACTCACGCACACACACACACACACACACACACACACACACACACACACATCATAGTAGATGAGGTGTTGTACAATGCATTTGTAGCCTTTAGGCCTGTCCCAGTGCTGATGTGGTTAATTATATCAACTGCAGTCACCACTGGAAGTCTGGTAAGAACTAGTGTTTGAACCATTTGTACTACATGCTGTATTCTAAATGCACATAATAAATAATTTATGTATTATGGTTGTGAGGAACTATTTTATGCTGAATTGTACTTCTTTATTGTTTAGTCTGTGGAGGGACCTGCAGACCCATAAATGATTGTGTAATTAAGTGGGCTCTAATGAGGAGTGAGTTGGCCAATGTAACTGACAGAAAAACTGTTTAATGCTGTATTATTTTGAGGTGTATGTTAGTATGTTAGCTTCAGTGTAGCAGAAAACTAAACATACACTATTATAACGGTTACTGCAATTTTAATCTGATTATAAATATGATTATTATTGCTTAAACTAAAGAGGAGGTCAGGGTAACTTGGATTTAGTTTAAAGTCTACAGACCAATGCAGGAAAGAGACAGACACTCGTGCTGAGGATGCTTCAATCAAAAGTAACTTTATTGGCTAAATATGACACTATAGTTGGATAACTAGGTTAATAAACAAAAGAAAAGAAATAAACAAACAAAGGAATGGCTCAGGTAATATAACTTATTTCATAGTATAAAATGGTATGCAAAGGTGGCTGAGGGTGCTCCTTGGGAAAGCGACTCGAAACTTAAGGACAAAGGATCTACAGGGCAACTTAACCTTAACTAACATATATCTAAAAGAGAATTCTTATCAAACAAAATAGTGTCGAACCTTGACTGCACAAATGAAAGATAGTCAGCCTTACTTTGAAGTCGGGAGACAGGACTACGGGTCCTCTGAGATGGGTTGCTTGAGGACCGGCTGGAGCTCACACACGGGATTTCCTTCGCTGTCCCTGGAGTCTTGGTGGGACTTCGCAAAGGCGACGTGCTGCAGTTGATGACCGGCGTTGGCGTCTCGCCTACCCGAGGCTGAAGCTTGGAACCAGGGCAGTCTTAGGGTGAGGATTCAGTTCGCCAGTCGAGGTGCAGCTCTGGCTGGGCTTCAGAGTCTCTGGGCCTTTTCTTAGGGTTGCTTGAGGATGGAGCTTGCAGCGAGGCAGCCCTTCATGGTCAATCTGCCTGCAGATTGAGGTGGGGCTCAAAGGGAATCTTGGTTCTTGGCATGACGGGCTACCTCAACTCACAGTCGGCTGGGGAAGTGCAGTCAAATTTCGAGGCTGCTAACCATAATTATCTACCTATCTTCATCAGAGCTGAAACATGAAGAAATTCCTTACTTGGCCATGTAAAGAAATCTTCACTTTCTTCTCTAAGGTTGGGTTAAACTTAAAGATATAAACAAAAGACAAACTACACAAACAACAAAATATCCAGATCTGATCTAAGTGTTCTAAGCTCCTAAACTTTCTTTCTAACCATGGTTGGCATAGACTTATGGAAGTTCCTTCTTCTTCTCTGGAACGCGAGCTCGAGTTAACTGGAACGGGCATGTGCGCCGGTTTTACCCGGCTGTTGGCCCCTCCCTTCTGGAGCGAAGGTGTTGATAGGTTCTCTTACCTAGCGGGTAATTAGCTATTCCTAGTTCTCGATTCTGATTGGGGGTGGTTTCTCTGTGAGCGCCTTCCCAGGGAACTCCTTTCTTTGTTCCCTCTAGGTTTCAAAAGTTTAGTTAGATTAAACCAAACAGTTTCAGATCATTGAATTAAGTTCCTATAATCCACAACAGACAAACCTAACATTTGTGCGTCAACCTACAGTTTTTATCCACATTACCTGAAAACAACTATTGTAAAGGCAGAAATAGTCTTCGGTAACACACAGGTAACCTTTTGGGTGTCTTTTCATAGCAGGAAATTTAACACAGTAAAATAATCACTTCAAAAGAATAAAATCAAGTAAATGAGAAGAGTGAAATAGAAGGCTAGATATAATAAGTGAAAAGAAAACCTAGGTGCATGCTTATTGTTCTAAAATCACTACTTTAAGTGGTTATTTCAGTAACTTTCAGACAGTTATCCTACACATTCCTAACGTCTGGTAAAAGAAAGAAGAATACACACTTTAAGTTACTGGGTACACAAATACAAGCATCATCTCTTGCAAATTAGATAGGGTTGATAGTTAAACATGCATATCAATGAGTGTTTCTGGGGTCCTTTGTGAGCAACAGTCCTTATGGTGGTGATGTGGTAATTCTTGGTTTCACACCTTGGGGTGCTGTGGCTCCATGTTTGAGATCCTCAGGGGGTTTAGAAAGTTTATATTTTCAGTTCAGATTGTCATATCAGTTCCGTTCTTGGTGTGTCTAGTTTAGTTAAAATGAGTCCTAACGAATGGTTGCAGTTTGGAGTAGATATATACCTTAGAAATGTACTTTCTGTTATTTAAAGATAAAGTTGTCCACAGGACTTTGGAGAGCCATATGGCCACATTCCAGAGGGGTGTTCTGTTGCCCCCTGGGTCGAGGGAGAGGGGTGTTGGTTCTTAATTCAGCCGTAAATTTGACAACTATGAGTTTGGGGTTGGGAGTGTTAAGTCGACAGATTTACACTTTCAACTCCAGACTTGCTGGAGCCAAAAGGCCCTTAACTTTTGGGTTGTTGATAAGTTGGGCACACTCAATTGAAGTGAAGTTTCAGCCAGTGTCCGCTACACTATATTGCCAAAAGTATTCACTCATTTGCCTTCACACACACATGAACTTAAGTGACATCCCATTCTTAATCCATAGGGTTTAATATAATGTCGGCCCACCCTTTGCAGCTATAACAGCTTCAACTCTTCTGGCAAGGCTTTCCGCAAGGTTTAGGAGTGTTTATGGGAATTTTTGACCATTTTTCCAGAAGTGCATTTGTGAGGTCAGACACTGATGTTGGACAAGAAGGCCTGGCTCACAGTCTCCTCTCTAATTCATCCCAAAGATGTTGTATCGGGTTGAGGTCAGGACTCTGTGCAGGCCAGTCAAGTTCTTCCACACCAAACTCGCTCATCCATGTCTTTATGGACCTTGCTTTGCACAGTGCACAGTTATGTTGGAACAGGAAAGGGCTGTCCCCAAACTGTTCTCACAAAGTTGGGAGCATGAAATTGTCCAAAATCTCTTGGTATGCTAAAGTATTAATAGTTCACTGGAACTAAGGGGCCGAGCCCAACTTCTGAAAAACAACCCCACACCATAATCCACCCTCCACCAGTACCATTCTCCTGGCAACCACCAAACCCAGACTCATCTTTCGGATTGCCGAATACTTTTGGCAATATACTGTATCTGTAGGTACCCATGCATGTGGTAATTGGAAATTTTCCATGCCATATTTCTAAGGATTACCTCCATTTATCAGTGGCAACATGAGAGCTACCCTCATCCCTAACTGCAGTGTTAATTTTAACCCCCTGAAAGCTAGACTGTAATTCAAACACAGCAAGATCCTTTTAATATTCCAAAACTGCACTATTTGGCCATTTTCATATATATTTAAATGGATGGGCCTTTTACAAATGTGCTTTATAAATTTTTGTTTGTATGCAAGAAGCTAATATGCAACCCAAAGTGAAAGAAACTATAAAAGAAAATGGCTAAATAAAACAGAAATGGAGGTAATCCTTACAAATATGTTACATTATACACTTTTTATATGAAGAGATGAGAAGAGAAGCTTGCTTATAACAAATCTGTTGACATCCATTTTCAATGTAATCGTGCCTTCTTCTTCTTGGCATAAAAAAATGTAATACTTTAATAAAAATTAACACTTTTCCTAAACACGTTACCCCAGTAAATCGCTCCAGACTGTTAATTTGCATAGCTTCATCCCTTACTTGTGCACCAGTGCAGCAGTGTCATATCATAAAATGAATATTTGAAAAAATCAATGAAAACTCAATGAAACCTGCAGCTCAGTGGTGACTTCATGTTCACATGCTTTTATAAATAAATAAATTCTGAGCACTTTTGCACATGCAAAATGCCTTAGTGGCCCCACAAACATTTAGTAAATATAACCAAAAGGAAATAATACAAGGTTGTCATCCCCCACATTGCCTTCTCTGTGCTGTTTATAAACGTATCAACCAATTACACTCGAGAGAGTTTATAGCATCTTGAGACATAGCAACAGGCCTATATTGGAGAGGAAAGCAGAGAAAAGCTTTGTATATGGGTAAAGGGTTGGGACCAAGAATGCTTGGCTGCTAGCATCAGTCTTTGATCAGGTTTCTTTGGGAATCATGGATGAAAACCAGTGCACCATTTGAATATCCAGGAGTTTGCATGTGTTGTCCCATCTTCTCACAAGAAAGGTTCTAATTGAGTTCAGAGTGAGATCAATCAGAGAGTCAATGCCTCAGTACCAACTCAGCAGTTGGTGATTAGAAGTTAGGAAACCCACAGTACACAAGTCAAAGGGAAATTTGAGGTGCTCTGACATATGGAGTTTATTGTCCCAGTCCCTGTTCCATATGTTGGTCAAGGTTGGTCAGTGCTACTTCCACATAGGCTGTGCCCAGGGTGGTATGTCAGTATTCACCACTCCTGCTATGTGCTAAAACAATGGAAATGTGCAAAATGCTATGTTTCTTACTGTACCAGCCCAAGAATACAAATATTTTTATTGTAGTGCATCATTATATTTCTAGCAAATAATTGATGGTTCCTCCTGAAAGTTACTGAGTGATCCATAATCAAGTTTAGTCAAATAATCATCTCAACTCTCTCTGTGTGTAATGTCAGTGTGATTTCATTACATTATTTTTCTCCCAGGCTGAGTCGGTGTAATCTTACAGAAGAAAGTTGTGTAGCTCTGGCATCAGCTCTCAGCTCAGACTTCTCAATTCTGAGAGAACTGGACCTCAGTAACAATAAACTGCAGGATTCAGGAGTAGAGCTGCTATCTGCTGGAATAAAAAATCCACACTGTAAACTGGAGAAACTGGAGTAAGATTATCACTTTATCACTGCAGTTGTTGTTCTCTCTGTCTGTCCCTTTCTTTCTCTTTTTCTTATCCGTATTCATACATATTTCACTGCATTTCCTTAAGTTTGTTCCAGTTGTTGCACAATCATATTAATTTAATTAGTATTATTGTTAGTCTGATTATTTTAATATTTGAGTATATTTTCGGTAAATGTCCAAAACAATAACAAAGAATGTGCCAAAGATTCCAAAATATTTTAGTGCGAAGAGATATACCATGCTGTGTAAGAAAGAACAGAAGAATTCACACTATGGGTTATCATTATAATATTTCATCAAATTTCCAGCAAATCTTTGCTGATTCTCTAAATAAGGTAAACATTAAATAATGAATAACATGGAATGGCTTTAACATTTACAATATCTGCCTCTCACACTGTTTGTGTGTGGGGGGGTGATGCTAATAAATTGTGTACCATCAATTCTCTCCCAGGCTAAGTGGTTGTAATGTCACAGAGAAAAGTGGTCCAGCTCTGTTTTCAGCTATCAGCTCAAACTCCTCAACTCTGAGAGAACTGAACCTGAGTTACAACGACCTGCTGAAGGATTCAGGAATGAAGCTGCTCTCTGATGGACTGAAGAATCCACACTGTAAACTGGAGAAACTGGAGTATGATCAGCACTTTCACATTTTGTGTGTTTGTGTCTTGTACAGGGCTAGGCCTAAACATTGAAATACTTATGTATTTGTTTTCTCTCCTTTGTATTGTTTCCTTATTTAATAGTTAGAAGCTTCATCTTTGGACACCACCAGAATTCCAGAGCACACTTGTGGACAGTTATTTATCAGTACATATGATACGATATGATATGATTTTTAAGGCCATTAAAAATCATATCATACCGTTTAAAATTCAAAACCTCATTAATTAAGGAGGCCAGCCTTGCACCTGGACAAATGATATATAATTCTATTGCACACAGTTTCACAGAGAAACTGGCCCAAAGATTCATTGACATAATTGTGGTTATGTAGGCTCAGGCATGTAGCTGCTTTGGACAGTAGCCCATAATAAAAGCATAGATCTGATAGTAGTGAACATGTAGAGATGGACAGAAGTTGTTCTAATGTGTCATCATTTTTCTCCCAGACTGTGTGGTTGTAATCTCACAGAAGAAAGCTGTGAAGCACTATCCTCAGCCCTCAGCTCAAACTCTTCAATTCTAAGAGAACTGGATCTGAGCAGCAATAAACTACAGGATTCCGGAGTGAAGCTGCTCTCTGCTGGACTGGAGAGTCCACACTGTAAACTGGAGAAACTGGTGTAAGACCATATCTTCATCACTGTGTGTCAGACTATATGAGTGAAATGGAGGTGCAGTAATTTACACTACCTGCTAAAAGCATTCTGTAATCACTCCACTGCAGTTTTATTGCCCACTTAACCCCCCACCCACATATGAGAAAGAACACTGTAGTTTTTTTTTTGTTTTTTTGTTTTTTTCTGCTCCACATCTATTCCATTCTTACTGAAATATATTTATGTTATACATTTTGAATGTTTGGACAGGACACTTCATACTACATAATTAATTTAACAAACACCATTTTCTATACATTTTCTGTCACAAGTCAGAAAACTGCTCTGTCAACAAATTGACTTGATCTACTTTACCACTCACACAGCAAAAATGGACAACATAAAAAAAATTGTACGTAATATTGTAGAACTTGTGTATTGTTGGTGCAAATTTCCAGCTCAGCCCTGCTGTACCATTGTTCAGGATTAACGCATTGAGCATGAATTGCATGCAGAGGTAGTGAAACAGGCTTAGTTGGATGGAGTAGTATCTGTGTGTGTGTGTATGTGTGTGTTTGAGTGTTTGAATGTGTTTACTGAACTGTAAGTTTTTCTCCATCTCTTTGCAGACTGTACAACTGCAGTATTACAGATGAAGGCTGTGTTTCTCTGGCTTCAACTTTGAAATCAAACCCTTCATCAGAACTGAGAGAGCTGGACCTGAACCACAATAAACCAGGAGAGTCAGGAGTGAAGCTGCTCTCTGATCTACAGAAGGATCCACACTGTAAACTGGAGATATTATAGTGAGTTGCTGACTTACTGTACACACACACACACATACACACACACACACACACACTAATACAAGAGAGTCAGGATTGAAGCTGTTCTAGATATGTGTACAAGTGATTTAATTACTTAATTAAATTCACCAAATAGATGTTAAGTAACTTGTTATTTGATTAATGACGCAGTTTCTGAAAATACAAATACTAGAAATAATTTGACACAGATAATACATTCGGTAAAATTAAGACAACATACTGATGCAAGATTCATGAGGGGGGTTGGTAGTAGCAAGACACCCCCTTTAAAGGTTTTCTCTTTTGGTTTATAAAGATTGAACTGTGTTGTTCCTGTTTATTTCCTCTAACTCTGTGGAGTTTTATACATCACCCTGTATATCATAAACACACAAACGTGGTTTAGTGTCCCCATTTGATACAGTGATGATTATTATTATTATTAACAATCATTGTATCATTATATACAATGATTGTTATTGTTTAGGGTGTTCAGTAAACCATGTTACATTTCAGCTGTATGTGTTTAGTCTGATATCTGATTGACTTTAATATGATTTTATGTCTGATGATTATCTTTTATTCTGTCTTACAGCATCTGAGCACCAGCCAGCTGTTTGCTCTCAAACATAGAAGGTTATAAGGAGAGGAGGAGTCTTAGTACACACACACACATACACACACACTCAGTATTACACTTCTACATATCATCGTTTGTGTGTTTGGGCTGTTAGTGGTCAAATCTGTGAAAACAGCTGCAGCACATGACTGTGTGATCTCCTCATGACATCACCATCAAACACCTCATGCTGGTCGATGATCCCACATTGATGAGAGGTGATGAGAGTGTGTGTACAGGAGGGAGGAGCACCAGGTGTCATGAAACCAATGGAAATGTAGATAGAGATATTATTGGTTTTAGAGACTGAGAGACTTTCATTCTGCTTAAACAGACAAGGCACACCATGACTGACTTCCTCAGTTTTTTTTTTTTTTTTTTTGTATATTTCACATTCTTTGGTATTTATATTGTACTGGTAATATTGGAGCTCATAAATCTGACTTTCCCTAGTGGAAATGTTTTGGTTTTAAGCAATAAATCAATAAAGCCTTCTTGTAGTCTGACTGACGTGTGTCGGTATATATTATCATTCTTTTCCATGCTTTATCCACACATATGAATGGTGTATGTTTCATCAGAAATGTTTGTGTATTACTTTTCAATGGTGACTTCTGTGTTCCAGTATCAGGTCCAATCCTGAATGGTGCTGCAGTATTAGATGTGGAGTGGACAGAAAGTTCTTTACACTACAGTTCATGGCCCTGTTCCTCCAGTCCCAGTCCTGGAGGACATGCTTTTGCAGTTTAATGTTCCACTGCTCCAACACACCTCATTCACTTGACCATGTGAATCAGTGAATCAGATGGATGTGAAGAAGACTGGCTGAGAGGTAGAGAGGCTGAGGGCTGAATAGAGGCAGTTTATGAGGAACCTGGACACTTCCTATTCACTCCATTATACGCCACAAAAATCACTGAAAAATACTCACAAGCTATATGCATAATTCTTCTCTTTTACATATCATTTTCATGCATTCCCCACATCTATTCCTCCATTAGCTCTCCATTCATGCATTTATCTCATTTAAACTTATTGGAATCTGGAAATCCGACGTGTAGATGGTTTAGAGTCTTTGAATTTGAGTAAAATTAGGCCACTTGCACTCAGAGTAAGTGATGTTTTTAAC